GAGCCGTTTTAGGTAGGTGTGGCTGACTCTTAACTTTTATAAAGAATATCTCTTTGGATTTGAGACTTTAGTCTTCTTTAGTCTTCTTTATGCACCAAAGCTTGTAACACTCCAAAGAGAAAGGAAAAATTGAAATCGCATCATATGACCCCTGTAAACACGCCCCCAACATGTCTACGTCACGATGTGGGAAGATTTGCATAACCGCCGCCCAAATGTTCACACAAAGAAAGAAGGCGTAACTTTATTGTTGCTGCCACCGCCGTCGCCATGTTGTTAAGACGCTGTGTGTCTCGTTGCGAAATCAGTGAATCACTAGAAATCAGTGGTCAATTTCAAGTGTCTTTCCATACATTGCAAAGACACTTGGCCGAAATGTGTTCAATCTACTCTTTATGTTTCTCACACAGAACAACCTCCTGGACAGCAACCAATCTGGCTTCAAAAGCAACCACTCAAATTAGACTGTCCTGCTTCCAAATTATCAGTACTCATCTTGCTGGATCTGTCTGTTGCTTTTGACACCATTAACCACCAGATCCTCCTGTCCACCCTCATGAAGATGGGCATGTCAGGAACCGCACTCCAGTGGTTCAAGTCTTACCTTTCAGGTAGGTCCTTCAGGGTGTCTTGGAGGGGTGAGGTTTCCAAGTCACAACTTCTTGCTACCGGGGTTCCTCAGGGCTCAGTGCTTGGACCACTTCTCTTCTCCATCTACATCTACATGTCATCATTAGGATATGTAATTGTGAAACATGGCTTTTCCTATCACTGGTATGCTGATGACACTCAACTCTACTTCTCATTCCAACCAGATGATCCTCATCCTTGCTAAGACGGACCTGCTCGTGGTCTCAGCCAACCCAGCACTTCATCAGAACTTCTCTATACAGCTAAGTTCATCAAACATAACTACTTCCAGGACAGCCAGGAACCTTGGAGTTGTGATTAATGATTAATTAAGCTTCACAGACCATATTGCTACAATGGCCCGGTCCTGTAGATTTGCCTTATACAACATTAGGAAGATTAGACCCTTCATATGAGAGCAGGCCACACAACTCCTTGCCCAAGCTCTTGTTCTCTCCAGACTGGACTAATGTAATGCTCTCTTGGCGGGCCTTCCGGCATGTACTATCAAGCGTCTGCAACTGATCCAGAATGCAGCAGCGAGAGTGGTATTCAATGAGCTGAAGAAAGCCCACGTCACACCTCTCTTCATCAGTTTGCACTGGCTGCCAACAGCCGCTCGCATCAAATTTAAGGTACTGATGTTTGCCTACATGACAACCACTGGCTCTTCACCAATATACCTAAACTTCAGACTTATTTGCCCTCCAGAATCTTGCATTATGCAAGTGAAAGATGCCTCATGCAGCCATCCCAAAGAGGCACAAAATCTCTCACAGACCTGTTCCCAGATGGTGGAACGACTTGCCTATCTCAACTCAAGCAGCTGAGTCTTTAGCCATTTAAAAAAAAAAAAAGTGTCCAAAGACATATTTTCCATCAGCACCTGTAATGTTTTGGTGCAATCAAGATGCTCGATCAGGTTTTAGTCATCATAAACTTTCCCTGCTCCCTTGTTATAACTAAATTACAAATGCATGTCTAATGTCCACCTCTGGTTCAAAGACAATTATCACCTCTGCCATCTTCACTGAAGGTAGCCAGAACAGTCGTCGGCCTTCTCTTCTCTTAATATTGGACAAACATCTAGACAACCATAATCCTCTTCATGCTCAAAATTCACACCTCTACATTGGTCAATCTGCAAAAGATAGGTGTGACTGGTAGACTCTTAAAAGTCCCTAACTCAAACCAATCAGTTCTCAAAACCTTTGAGACAGACCCTCTCCAAGACTTATCACCCTTGAGTCTGACCTACCGGCAGTTTTTATCATCAAGGAACTTTGTTGATTCGCTGTGGACTCTCCGATCTTCAGAAGAACCCGACAAAAGCCTCCAGCTCACTCCTAATGAACTCATCAAGAACCTCCGTTGTCTCAGCAACACTCTTGTTCAGCAAAGCCAGTGCAAGTAACAGTTTCCAACTATTTATATGCGTGTCTAAGTTTGGGCCCCCTTTTTAAGGTGATTTTGATTCTCTGATGATTCTCATTAGGGTGTGGTTAATTGCTGTTAAATACTGCCATTATTTTGTTCTTCTCTCTCTCTCTCTCTCTCTTTCCTTACTTTCCTTCTTTATGTATGTACGTGATTTGCTTAGTTTATTTGTATGCTAGCTGTTGTTTCATTTATTACATTTCTTATATTCACAATCGATTGTCTGTGTGTGCATGTTGCTCACAATTCGGAGAACCTGAATGTTGATCTTGCTACATGCTAAGTTACTGCTAGTACTGTAATATTTAATATATTATACTTTCAAGAAAGTGTTTTCATTGGGTTTGTAAAAGCTGTTTTATTGCATGTTTTGGTCTGAGTTTTTGTTGCATTTACACAGGTTTGACCAGCAGGCGTCGCCAGCTTGTGGGGTCTCGAGCGCTTCGAAACAGTGATTAATTTTGCAAAGCAATTGGTTCAATTGATTTGAAGCTTTGAAATGGTTCGTTTCTCCCATCACTAACTGAAGTGGAATTATAATGAACCCAAGTGCAATTTATTGAACAAGAAGTAAAATCCAAAATACAAACAAACAAAAGACCTGACTTGACTTGACTTGGCATGATCAGAAACGTAAACTTACCGACAGAGGATTACTGGAACAATACTCAACAAGATAACATTGAAAACATGAGGGTATAAATACTTGACAATACAGGTCACATGAAAAAATCCAACCAATAAGCAAACAGAACTGAGAACCACATGACAGGACAATAAACCAATGAGAACAAAACACATGAACTAGATAACCAATCAGAACATGAAACATACACTAGGCAGGACAACATGAGGAATCAAGGGAAGCACATGGCAACCAGGGACTAAACTACAAAATAAAAGACAAGAAAACCTAAACAAGAAACAAAACCCAAAAACCAGTGTGACATAATCATAAATATTTCCCCTTTGAGCTAATCTGCTACACACCTGACCAATTAATACTAGCACTTACCTATTATATTCTATTTATTAAAAAAATAAAACAACTTGCTATGTGTACTATGCTAGAGTAACTGAGACTTGTCACATCATTTGAATACTGCTGCTCTCTTG